ACGCGAGCATCATCATGCAGCTCGATCTGTCTGCTAATGGCGATCCTGGTCTGATTGATCTCCGCGCTGCAGGCGACTTTGTCTATGCCTTGAGTCCTGGCAATGGAACCACCAACGCGGCGATTACAGTGCTCGATGTTTCCGGAGGTCAAGGGTCAATGAAGCAGGTGCAGCATTTCGACCTGGGCGGAATGGCAGGAAAGACCGCTCAAGGTATGGCTGTGATGATGTGAGGGGTCTGCTGGTGTCTTTGTAGTATGTAGTTTCTACTTTTGTTAGTTTTTATATGTATCATACTCGATGTTACGTGCGCGCTGCTACGCTGCCTGTACATCATGAAAGCCAATTATTTGCCATAACACTACTATAGTGTGTCATTGAAGTCTCTTTTAGTGTAACGTCCTGCACCATTTCAATTCGCACAGGAGCGAGTTCTACAGTATTTCTACATTTTGTACAGGTCGTTCAGTCGTAGCGTTCGTGCACTCATCTGAGGCCAACTGTGTGTAACCGGCGTATTTGTTTCCTCTTTTCTGGGTTTGAAGCGGGCGGAAAGAAATCACCAGGAGTGGGACGTGGTCGGTGCATCTGTTGCGCGGGTGTCGGCGGGCTGGCAGACTTGCTAGACTCGGTGGGCGACGTGTTGAGTGCCTGCGGCGACTCTTGTGTTCGATAATCAAGATCTTCGGCATCCTCTTCCAGATCTTCGATGTCTTGCTCCAGTTCTCTTAGTGCTTCATCGGCGGTCTTGTCCTTCCTTTGATGTGTCCTTAGCACTCCACCCCACAATGTCTCGAGGTCTGTCTCGGCTCTCTTCTCTTCTGTGAACATCTGCACGACTACATTGACGCCAGGCTTGATGTCTCTGAAACCGACAAACTGTTTCACATCATCTCCGGGCATGTGCGTGTCATCGGGATGCGCTTCCAGTTTCCCAAGTGTGCAACAGATCCAGCCTGTGCGTATACCGTCGTCAATGTTGCCTTCGGGTGCGGAACCACCAACGTTTGCCAACATTCGCATGCGCTTGGCCTTTCGCCTCAGCTTGATCTTCAGCTCATTGCGACCCAGCAAACCGGCTGCATTCGCCTTCAGTCCGTGTTCGCGTCGAAGGTATCGGCAGAATCGGTCGGCTGCTACGTGGAGATGCTTTTCCGAGCGCGCTGTTGCGATGAGCATGATCAGCTTGGGGCCGAGCGCAGGCGGAGGGTCAAGATTTCGCAGGTCGAGCAATTGCAAGTCGTCGAGACCGGCCGTGATGGAGACATATTCGAGAAGGGTGGCTAGGAGAGGTGGCGGGTTCGGAGGGAGGTCTGGGATCTGGGCGGGATTCAATGCGGGCGACGGGACCGATGACTGTTGTCTGAGATACCACGGGATTGCATTGTCTTGTTGGGAAGGTGGCGTTGTAGATGGCGAGGCTTCGGTCGCGACTTCTGGCGCAGCTTCTTTCCAGCCCTCGGAGGCGTTCGTTGTGGCTTCCTGGGATACAGTGTCCTCGTTAACAGGCTTGGAACTGTCGTCGAGGAAGGCGAACCCGGGATCGTCGGTTGAAGGATCGTTCTTATCTACCCGCCGAAGTGCACTCGTACTGAAGGCGCATCGTGAGACTGTCGAAGGCGCGGTGCGCAAAGATGCGCCATTGGGTCGGGGCACTGAGGTAGATTGGCGAATCTGGGTACTCCGACAGGCATTGCAGATGAACCTAGAAGAGGCAGCCCTAGAGAAAGACATGGTGTGGATAGAGCAGACACGAATAGTGGCATGGCACTGCGCAGTTGGACTTTCTCGATGACATCGGTGTTTCGTAGCACCGACTGTGGGCCCCTACTAGCGTCCTATGAACTTCCCCATCACATGTCTGGCCTTGTAGCACCAGCATTGTGATGACAGCACGCTATCGTGTATAAACGATATCCGTCGCACGAGTTATAAATGGCACTACTATAGAGTGAAAGCTCGCTCATTCTGTGTCTATGATAACACTGATATATTGTCTTCAGCGGTTTGGGTAGCGGGATGCATCTGCCAAGAGAGCTAGTGGGGGCGAAAGAGGGCTTGCGGCGAACTTTTGAAAATCATCGGGCACGCGGGGCACCAATTTCAAAGCAGTCACTGACTGTCCGACTCACACCGACCGCTGCTTCTCTCCTTATATATCCTTCCCCTGGTCCTCTGATACCTAGAGGGACGCGCACTATCGAAACCTCTCTATCCAAACACCACCGCACACATGGAGGGCGTCGTGATGGATGCTCAGCGCTCTTTCGCGCCTGAGCCCAAGAACTCGGCCACGATTCTCTGCGCAGACTGCGGCGCGCCGGTTGACGGCACACTCTCGGGCGCCTTTTGCTACGACTGCATCAAACTCAAGACGGACGTGACGGGCGGCATCCAGCGCGAGGCAATCCTGCTCATGTGCCGCGACTGCGACCGATGGCTCTCCCCGCCCACCACCTGGGTCGTCGCTGCCCCCGAATCGCGCGAACTGCTCGCTCTCTGCCTGAAGAAACTGCGCGGACTGAACAAATTGCGAATCATCGATGCCGGCTTCATCTGGACGGAGCCCCACAGCAGGAGGATCAAGGTTAAGATTACCGTGCAGTCGGAGATCAACGAGGGCGCCATCATGCAGCAGAGCTTCGAGGTCGAATACACACAAAACTACAACCAGTGCCCAGACTGCGCAAAGAGTTACACCCACAACACATGGAGGGCCTGTGTGCAGATCCGCCAGAAGGTGCCACACAAGAGGACCTTCTTGTACTTGGAGCAGTTGATCCTCAAGCACGGAGCCCACAAGGACACGATCAACATCAAGGAAGTTCACGACGGCATCGACTTCTTCTTCTCCCAGCGAAATCATGCCGTAGGCTTCTGCGACTTCCTCAAGGCCGTCATCCCAGTCAACATCAAGCGCTCCGAGGAGCTCATCTCACACGATATCCACACTTCAACCAAGAACTACAAGTTCTCCTTCTCCTGCGAAATCGTACCCATCTGCAAAGACGATCTTGTAGTCCTCCCTATTCCCCTCGCAAAGAAGATCGGCAACATCTCGCCCCTCACACTCTGCACCCGCATCGGCACCTCCATACAACTACTCGACCCTTCGACCCTCCAGACAGCCGATGTCGCCACGGACATCTATTGGCGCACACCGTTCCGACCCCTCGCAGACGTACAGGAACTGACCGAGTTCATTGTCCTGGACATCGAGCCTCTGGGCAAGTCAGTAGGCCGCCACTTCCTCGCCGAAGCCACCGTGGCCCGCTCCTCAGACATGGGCGTCAACGACACAACATACTACTGCCGCACACATCTTGGTGGTATCTTGCACGTCGGCGACTCGGTCATGGGTTACCTCCTCAGCAACACCAACTTCAACAACGATCTCTTCGACGTTCTCGAAAACAACAACAAGTACGCGGCCGCTATTCCAGATGTCATGCTTGTCAAGAAGTACTACCAGCGATCCAAGAAGAACAAGAACAAGCGCAACTGGCGCGTCAAGCGCATCAACAAGGATGAAGGCGAGATGCTGCCCCGTAAGCAAGATCAGGAGAAGATGGAGCGCGACTTCGAGATGTTCTTGCAGGACGTCGAGGAGGACCAAGACCTGCGCGCTACCATGGCGCTATACAAGGCGCAGCAGGAACAGAAGCAGCGCGACGCAGATGCCATGGAGACTGAGAGCAGTCTTGGTGACGATGAGGATGAAGGCCTGCAGATTCCGATGGATCAACTGCTGGATGATTTCGAGGAAATGAAGATGCACGACTGAAGTTAAAAATGACGAGATCAATGTCGCATGAGTTATGGCGTTGTGGCTTGCTGCATCTACGGGCGTTTGGCGGGTAAAAGGGACGGGAAGTACCACGTTTATAGAATTGTCGATTTCATCCAATGTCGACTGGGCATCTTGTCCTTCAATCTCAAAATACTTTCATTCACCTCGCCATTTCGTTCGTCGCTGTGGCTGTAGAGGTTGTGACAATTCTACTGCTGCAGGTGAAAGCAGGAATTGACATCGTTCGCTATCATGATTCTCGTGGCCTCAGCGCGGCGACGTAGGTGCCGTATCGCTAGCTCAGTGCGGCTGGTAGTGATGGCGACAGTTTCACCAGCTTGCTTCAAGCCTCTCTGAAGGTTCATTTTCAGGCCTCACACAGCTCAACAGTTTACACAAGATCGGCACGGATAGGCCCGGTTCTGAACTTTGATCAAGGCTTGATGGTTCCCCTTGCCCACGCCCAGCACCTTCCGCGGGGATATCCTTGATCACGTCAACGGATGTGTGCTGCCTACTGCTGATGTTGCAGGCGATCCGGATCTGCAATTGAAGGTTGCGCCATGTGTCATGCGCTACTCAGGACAGCGAAAGAGTTGGCGCGGCCGACTCAACAGCTAACCACCTGGGCACCTGCGTGGCGATGTCGAGATTCTCCGTGAGCTCGAAAGTTCAATGCCACAGTGTTCCACGAGTGTTCTCTGTCATTCTAATTTACAGTTCCTTGCGCAATCTACGAGTAGGCTTTCCGGCTCTTGTGGTTACCGGTGCCTCGCGTGTCGCACCATCGCCGCCAGCTTATCCTGGCCACACGCAATCCTAGGTAGTTCAGGAAATAAGACTCGCTCCCGTCCGAACGGCTTCTCACCGCGCTCGAACGAGGTTGCGGGCTTCGCTCCACTGAGTCGTATAGGGTCAACTTTGAGTTTCCTGGATTTTAAGTTTTGGCGGAGAAAGGGCCGCCTTCATCCATAGCCGTACGCGACTCAGCCGGCATCGCTAGCAGAGCCGGCTGAAAGACCAGCATGCGCAAGGGCGTTTCTGCCACTTGTGAACATGGGGTAGAGCCTCTCTTAGGGATATGACCTGATGCGCAAGTCGCAATTCCTCAGCTCGCAGGTTGAGTAATCGATGCCTTTCGCACGCAGGCAGACTACGACACCTGTCACACAGTTATCTTAACGAATCTCATCTGAGATACTTGCCCGCCATGGCCGACGAGTTTACTCGCATTGTCGAGGAGATGATGCTAACTCCCCCGAACCCAAATGCGCCCTTACCACTGGCGAACAAGAAAGGCACGATGTTTGGTGTCTCGATACCATTCCACGTAGGTCCTTCACGACAATACAAACGTCCTACAAACTCACCGTCATAGGTTTTGTGCTGGGTTGTCGTAGGCTTCCGTCTTCATACTCGCCTGCGAGTTGTTCGTGAACCCGGTCTCGATGACCTCTTCGTAGTCCTAGCGGCTATATTCAACTTGACATCTATCATAGCCTTCCTCCACGGTAGGCCTGCACGACTCTAAACTCGTGGTCGTTGTACTGATTTCTCGCGCAGGCACCAATTATGGCATGGGTCATCATCTTATCTACACCTTACGAGAGTTGCAACCAACCATGATCTGGCTGTATATCACAAATGCCGCGTATCATACGACCACTGTCTTCATCAAGATATCCCTACTCCTACAGTACCTGAGGCTCTTTCAGCAGGGCGCTCGCCGCATCATTTGCATCGTACTTCTCGCGTTGGTGATAGCATGGGGCCTGACTTTCTCATTCATGGCTTGGGTACCCTGCTTTCCAGTAAGGAACTTCTGGGATCGACAACCTGGCTCTAAATGCTACGGCTTCGGATATCGCACTATCAATGAGGCGAAATTCACGATACTCGCGTTTGCTGCGACGAACATGGCGTTCGATATTGCCATATTCCTCGTCCCGATCACGGAATACTTTAGGAAAGATCTCAGACGGAAACAGGTGCTTGCCATGACTGGACTGTTCGCTCTCGGTTCGATGTAAGTGCAGATTCTGAACACTCCAGCATCACCACTGACAGACGCAGTGTCGTACTCATGGCTATCCTCCGCCTTTGGAGCACCTTCAAAAACAGTCAAAGCATGACCCAAAGTTTCGATTTCACATGGTGGTACCCCGAAGTCCTCATCATCTCCTGCCTCGAAATCGACTTCGCGATAATGTGTGCGTCCATGCCTATATTCTGGCCCACCGTCATGGCTTCCTGGACCCAGATCTTTGTCACCAACGAGGTCCGCGTTACGCACCACGAACGTTTGCCCAACGATAGCCGCGATAACTTCGAGTTGGTCAGGAACACGTCGTTGAAGAGCACAGGGAGTGCGGAAGAATTGGCAAGGGTTACGAGCGAAGAGCAGGACACGGTGTATGGCGGATTTGACCCAGAGACGGGCAAGGATGGCAGATTTGCTGCTATGCGAGTAGAGGTACAACCGCAGGCACAAAGGACACGGAGACTCTGAAAAGCATATTTCCAGGAAATCCAGCTCATGGCTTTGACTTTGACACTTATGTCCATACGTGTGGTCGCAATTCGGTACTTCCTCTGTCCGACACGCTCGACTTCTCAGCATTGAAAATGCCAGGTGTGGAACGTAGCTGCATGGGCCCCTGCAAGAAAGATCATCGAGGCACAGCTCGACAAGCTGCAGGCCAAGCCCACTCCACGCGGCAATTGACCTCGGTTGCAATGGCTCGTCGCATCCTCCATCGACATCTTATTTCCGTTCCTTCGGTACGAAACCCTCATATGAGCACGGTATAATGTTGCTACACTCCCTTACGTTGCTCGTCTCTTTTGCGACGGCATATAACCATCATCATGCGGAAACGGAAACACCTGCAGTCCGGACATTTTTCTACGTCGGGGGTGGCTATACTGAAGATGGCAAGGGTGGTCATATATTCAAGGACCAAATGTATGTCGAAAAGTTAACGCCAGTGTCCACCAAACAACATGATACGGACCCTATTGTTTTGATCCATGGCCAAGCGCAGACTGGAACTAATTTCCTCAACAAACCGGATGGAGGGAAATCATGGAGTTCAAGATTCCTTGAGGCTGGCCATACTGTCTATATCCTGGATCAAACCTTCCGCGGCCGCTCCGCCTGGGCACCAATGGCTGGTGCTGATGCGCCGTCGACTTATTCTGCTGAGCTCATCCAGCAACGCTTCACTGCTCCCCAGCAATATCGCCTCTGGCCCCAATCCACCCTTCATACTCAATGGCCAGGACCGGGAGTGATGGGCGATCCTATCTTCGACGCTTTCTATTCTTCCAACGTCCAATTCATCCTCAACGCCACTTATCAACAGAGCACCATGCAAGCAGCTGGAGCACAGCTTTTGGACTCGATCGGTACTCCCGCGTGGTTGCTTGGCCACAGCCAAGGAGGTCTTCTGCCGTTGCTCATCGCTGATGCACGGCCCCATCTCACGAAGGGCCTCCTCTTGGTGGAGCCGACTGGTCCGCCCTTCCAGGAAGCAGTCTTTGGATCTGCACCAGCGAGGAAATGGGTAGGTTCACCAATCTTTCGGTCTCATTTGAAATGGCTGTTGACTTCAAAATCTACAGGGCTTGACAGACATACCGATGAATTATTCGCCTCCGGTCACTGACCCCGCGATCGACTTAGCACAACAGGTTTATCAGCCTACCAACCTGACAAGTAACAATGCTACTATTCCTTGCGTGTTGCAAGCAGCCGAGCCAGCCCCGAGACGGCTTTCCAATCTTGCGCCGCTGCCCATTCTCACCGTTACGTCCGAAGCTAGCTACCATGCGCCGTACGACTACTGCACTGTCAAATTTCTCAAGCAAGCTGGCTGTTCCAAGGCTGAACATCTTGAGCTTGGAAAAGTCGGCATTCATGGCAATGGGCATATGATGTTTATGGAGAAGAACAGTGATGAGATATGGGAACGTATCCATGATTGGATGGGGACTGCTAAGTAAATTCCTTTCAAGATACTCAATCCTCAGTGCCAGCGTGCTGAGTTACAACTCCACAGTCTTTAAGCTACTCTTTCAGCTAGCCATCTACATAACCCGCCTACTTGTCCATGGTCTCACATCTCTCATCCATTTCAACATTCATGTCCGTTTTGCTGCGCTTGTTCCGGATATCCTTCCAGCCTATACCCAAGCTGGCAAGGGTAGCCAGACATGCTATGCCTACCAAGAAGTAAAAGACATCGCGCAGACCGTCCGAGTACGCTCTCAGCACGCCATCTAGTTCTCCAAGCGGGACGAGGGCTCGCACAGCACTGGCACTAGATCCAGCATCAATCGCCGCCTGGGGAGATATTGTGGGCGCGTAGCGTGTGATGGCTGAGCGGAGTGTCTGCGCAAATATCGTGTTCGCGATGACGACAGCGATCGACGTACTGAGGTTCTGGAAAAAGACGACACTGGCTAACGCGACTGGGTATTGGGCCGGGGATACGGCGTTCTGCACTGCAATGATGGCCTGAAAGCGTCAATGATGCGACCTTAACCTGTGCAAGACTTGGACTTACTATCTGCATACCACATCCTCGGCCAGCGCCCAACAAAATCTGGTAGCCGATCCAGACCGAGGCTCTCGTAGATGCTGTGAACGTTGATACAAGACCGTTGCCGATTGCGGTTACGATACCACCGACGAGCGCCCAGGGAAGATAGTAGCCCATGCGGGATACTATGAACAATAAGCTACCGAAAGCATGAGCTTGATAGTGTGGAGACATACCGGCAGCACCTGTTGCGATAACAACGAGAAGTTGGCTCAATATACTCGGCAGTACGTGTACACCACTGTCCGTCGGCCCATCGCCCTTCACGGCCTGGAAGTACGTCGGCATCCAAACACTCGCTGTCATCATACAAGTGATAATACAGCTGGCGTACACGCAACTCGTCCAGATGATGCGCTGTCCAAGCAGCTTACCTGGAAGCATGGCTTGGTCGCCCATTCTTCTCTCCCAAAATATGAAGAGGACGGCGCATGTTGCAGCACCACAGAGTAGTCCGATGACGACAGAGGAGCTCCAGGCGTACTTGCCACCACTGCCTAGCTGGAGGGCGAGGAGCAGCATAACGGACGGAGGGACGAAGAGAGCAAAGCCGAGCAGATCGAGGTCGGGTATGATTTTGTGGACGAGGGACAGAGTAACTCGCGGCTTCGTCGTGCGCTCGGGAATGGGAACGAAAGCGATGAGGGCGGCAGCCACTCCACCGATGGGTAGGTTCATGTAAAAGCCTGGGTTTGGGTTACCGTCAGCTTTAGAAGAGAAAAAGACAACGCGACAAGTCACATCACGTACACCAACGCCAGACTGCATGCTCAGTCAGAGCACCTCCGATGAGTGGCCCTGCGACAATGCCCATTTGCGCAGCTATCTTCTCGTCAGCATACAATCATGCCGACTTCCATCGTACAGCATGCTTACTCCCAAGTACTACACCGGTGTACACTGTCGCATAAGATTAGCGTGAACCTTTTGATATCTATGGAGCTAAGAACGTACCTGGACTTTTCTCCATAGGCACAGCCCCTGCTAAGATCGTCATGGCACCGTTCACGATGCCAGACGCTCCTAAGCCGGCAACCACTCTTCCTGCGATGAGGACGGCCGATGAGCTGGCGACGCCGCAAAGTAGGGAACCGAGTTCGAACAAAGATACGAATGTGAGGAACACAATCTTGGTATTGAAGTGTGTGTAGAGCTTGCCGGAAAGCGGTTGCAACGTGGCTCTAGTAGCGACATCAGTAAAGGCATCGAATTCGTTCACCCAGACTTGCAAGAGTGACAAAAGGATGTTTGAAGAAGGCGACGTACGAAGCGAGCGTAAAAGCACCAATGTACCCTAATCACAGGTATACAAAGTCAGTATACGTCTCACATCGCGGTTTCGCAGTTACACTTACAGCCTACATCTGGAAGCGAGTGGAACTCGGATGTAATGCGTGGTATTGCCTAATACCGTTAGAATCCGATCATCATACGAGCGACACAGGCGATACATACAGTACCCATGATGGAGGTGTCGAGGCAGACGAGAAATGTAACTAGCGTTAGGCTACCGAGAAGGGTGAAGAGTTTTGGACCCTTGAGATATCGATCTGGCGGCGGCGTGTCGCGATAGCTGTCCATGTTGGCTGGCTGCTATGTAGGTATGTTCAGGTTCACGTAGAATTTGTCTAGGTTGTTGTAGGTTTCGAGCGAAATGTAGTGAAATGTTCGTGTGCAAAAGGCCAACGAGCGATAACGATATGCAGTGATCAGGTAAGAGCAGGTTTGAATGGCATATATAATAGGAAGTCGCATGTTGACCTGTGGCTTTGTCCATGGATCGGGTTTCGGGCGGGTTTGACCTGCATATCAGGCAGCCGCAGCCGGAAATTAGGTCAGATCCTCGCAAATCCGTCCCAAGCTTCTCGTAATGCCCTATTAATCATTTAGGGCCTATCTCAAGTGTAGCTTTGTGTCCTTCACCATCTGCGCAAACGTCTGTAAACTGATCCATTCAGACCCACTCACATGGCTCAAGGATTGAAAGCATTAGGCAACCAGAAGTCACTCGAAAAGTCCAGTGCCCCAAAATCACCAAAACCGCCATTCCATCCATCCGATGCATTGCCCATGTCGTCATCGTTCTCCGTCGTTGGAAGTTTCCAGTTTGGTGCCATAGCCCTTAGCGTTTCCGCAGCCGCAGCAAACAGAGTATCCTCGCCTGTCTTGGCCTTGAATTCCGTGTTAGCCTGCTCAGCAATCTCGGCGAACCTCTCTAGACATTGCACGATGTCGAAGCTTGATTGAACGATGGGTGGTATCCAGTCTGGGATTCCTTTGAGGCTGGCGAATCTGTACAAGGTCTTGATACAATACGAGAACACGAGCATTGATGGAGCCGTCAGACCTATGACTCCGCCATTCCAAGCGTGTTCTCGACAGGCTTTACTGGTCTCTAGGAGCTCCATAAAGTACTCGATACGCCTGGGCTCAAACGCTAGATGCGACACTGACAGCTCATCCGTAGGCTTGGTTAAGAGCGCAAGATCGTAGATGGCAACCTGGGCGGTTTGATTGAGACCGATTATTAACCCTGGAGTAATTTGAGCGCTGAAAGAGGTGACGGAACGATGATCTTACAGTGCTGTAGAATCTCAATGGGAAGTGAGCTTTTGAAGTTGTTGAGCGCCAATATTAGAGGGTCAATAGCCATCATAGCATGCCTTGCTGTATTGTGATCATCTGAAGCTCTTCGCGATACTTCGGCGGCGCTGACAACAATCTTTGCCAGACGCGCAGCGGCGACTAGTATGACGTCCCCTTCACATTCTTTGTTCTTACTGAGGTGGTCGCACGCATCTTCGATCTGCGACGACCAGAGCATCAGGTCATATTCGAAGATAACAGCAACACTTCTAGCGTCAGTTGAGCTACGATGAGTTTACTTGCAATCTTACTTGGCGCATAATATGAAAACAGATAGAAATGCTCTAATACCCTCTGTCTTCCGAACTTCCTTGTTATCAACACGAGGGCCTAGGCTTGGACATCCCGCGGGTTGCGTGGGCTTGTCGAGTCGGAGATCGCTAACCAGCGTTTTTGCAAGACCGCACATGGAGCCCAGGAACTGTTTCCCATGCGTGAAGTACGGTGACCTAACAGCATTAAAGTTGGAAACACTACACATGATCTGCGTCCTTACCAAGCTATGCACATGATGACAGTCAAGAGCAAGTCAATGCTCCGTTCTCCCTGCACAATAATCCTGGAAGCCAATTGTTCTCGTAAGTGTTTGCTCAACTGGCTTTGCTTCGTTATTGCTTTGGTGAGTATTGTGCGGATAGCATGGCAAAATAGCGGGTATTTGAGATAAAGCTCGTCTGTGGTAGTATTCTCCGACATAGGCATGAAGGGGAAATAGTACAGATAGCTCGTCCGGAAGTCGTCCACCTGATCGCTAGACAAGTGCTTGTCGTTGTCAAGACCATCGGTCGCCTGGTGAGGAATTACTGAGGAGTCGGGTGTTAGCACGAGCTGCTCATTGGGCGATATGGTGAGAGGCGCTGTGCGCTGTGTTCGAAGCAAAGAGACGACTTCATCGAGTTTGTCCTCCAATTTTGATCTCTTCGGCGCTTGGTTTGATCTGGGTGCCCTCCTGCGCGCAGCTGTTGAAGCTCTACACTCTTTACCTAGGCGGTGACATCTTTGCGTTCAAGTTAGCCCGAGTGCGCGGAAGGTAGCGAATTGAGTCTACATCAACCTAAAAGCATGCAAACTAGGTGACCTAACGTCGATGTAGGCTCCAGGGTGTTCGGCTTTTTCTTAGGTTGACGTGCATTTCCGAGTGTGATTGCTCCATAGTGAGCGTATTGGTCAAAGGGATGGCGCACCTGTCGCAAACACCGCCGTCGCGTAACATACATCGGCATTTCGCTTTAACGCAGTTGCCACATGCCTGACCATATGGCGCAGGGGTCTTGCCTACTGCGTCCGTTTCCATGATAGGATTTCGTCTGTATTCCAGGTACTCAATCTGTATGCGAAGAAGACGAGCATGATGGGGTTGGTTGTGCACGCGTAACGCGCGAAAGGACGGGATTCGGAGCGGAATGACCGAAATTAGGCAACCAAGCGGACCCGATTTCTCGTTTCGGCCCCCAGACAAGGGGGACCGTTCGCCGTTACTACACGTCACAACGAAGGTGAGTAGGCATCTCTGACTCCAAATGCAAACTGGCTGGTTTCGCGAAGTAAAGAAATAATTATTTGAATAGGGTATGTGTCCGAACTCCAGAGTTCCTAACGCCGCAGATCATCCCGCCCTTTACGTCTTCACCTTCGCCTTGCCCTTCCTTAGCCTGTCGAACTCTTGAATGAGTTCCACAGCTCTCAGGTCAGCCTCGGATTTCCGGCCCATCCACTCAGTCTCTCCCCGTTTTGCCGCCTTGATGCGCTTTCTCGTGCCGCCTTTCGCCAAGTACTTCATACTCTTCACGATGCCATCTCCAGGGTATGCTATAATCCCAAAGGTTGCTGCGCCAGTCTTCGTGATCAGTCCGGACATTCCCTTGCCGAAGCCCTTTGCATACCCGATCGCACCCTCTTTCTTCCCACCCTCATACGTCTGACGGAAGGGATCCGAGAGGCCGTCGGCAAAGCCATGGATGAAGGTCTTGCCACCGACTTGGAAGCCAGAAAGAGCGCCAGTGACCTCCCCATGGTCTTTGACTTCTTCACCATACAACCTTGGCACGTTGCGAAAACCTTCTGTGGCAGCGAGAGGGAGGTCGACGATGGTACCCTTATAGAATGCACCTACAAATCTACCAAAGCCTTTGGCAAAGCGACCTGCGGCAGCTGCGCCGCTTGAACCCGGCTTTCCTGAAGACGCTGAGGCTCCTGAGAATGCAGCAGGGTGTTTAGGCTCAACGAAGGGATCCACAACCATGCCCTTCACTGCCATACCCATGTCTCCGACAATGCCAACACACGCCGAAGTTGTACTTGTTATGGGGTCCCAGCGTTGATTGGTGATGATGAAAGGATCGGTTTCGTGGTTTTCGAGATCGGTGGGATCGATGGAACCATTCTCGATGAGTATCTGTGCCGCTAATTTGGAAAGAAGGATGGATTCTTTCTTGACCTTCCACGATGCCACCTGTGTAGGTAGCAGTGCGCATCGCATAGTCTCGAGAGGCAGATTGGTGTGGAAAGATTGTACTGCTGCCTCGACGCCTCGCTCATTCGCCATCTGCGAAGATAATCCCCGTGCGGCCTGCTTTGCCTCGCGCGTGAGACAGAAGTGGATAGCCGCTGTAAGGTTTTCGGCCGTCAGAAGTTTGTGGGGAATAGGTTGAGGACCGGCTCCCGCTGCTGCTATCATCTCTCCCCAGAACGGCTGGTCTCCAAAGAACGGAACGACAACAGTAGGACATGCATTACGAAGTCCGCACGCAGCTGTACCTGCACCGCCGTGATGTACCACCGCTGCAACATGCTGAAACAGCCATTCGTGTGGACAGTCGCCGATGAACAGAACGTCGTTATTGTCGTTTGGTAAGTCGCCTCCAAGGTTACTCCATCCTCTAGAGATGATCGCTCGGATACCTAAGGCGCGCACGGTTTCCAGGATGCTTGATGTCACCTTTGCTGGATCGTCGAGGACGATGCTTCCGAAGCCGATGTAGACCGGCGGAAGTCCATTTCTCAGGAACTGATCAATTTCCGGAGGCGGCGTGTACGGCGTTGGTTCGCGGAAGAAGAAACCACAAACATCGATATGCGCTGCCCAATCAGGTGGCTTCGGAACCAAAGCCGGAGACCAGCAGTACGTAAAAGGCACTTTGAGTGTAGAAGCAAGTACAGGTCCGACTGATAGCGGCACCTCTTCAAGGTCCAAGGAATGTCTGAACCCATTGATGACATCACCTAGACCCTGCCACGTTAGAAATTCGACGACGCCATACGATGCATAGTTGATGAGAGCGGTCGAGATTTCGTCGCTCTTGAAGTTCGCCAGCGGATGCGGAAAGGCTCGGGTGCTGCTCCAAGGCATGGTAAACATGAGATGGAGTGGAATGCCCAGAGCTTGGGCACAGTGTACATGCGCGAAACTAGGCGGGTTGGCGATGATTGCGTCTGCCACAAATGGCTGTTGAGTTTTGATGTCCGGTTCGATACATGACTGCCAGCAGCCATAGAGCATCTCGGCGATCATTTCCCTTTTCTTTTGGATATCGCCTTCGCGAAGACTCTTCATGGACGGTATCAACCCTGGGTTCTTGACCATGTAGGCCACTGCTGCATGTTAACGAGGTACGAACGGACCTTTACAGCACAACATACTGAGCTCTTTAGGATCCCCGCCAATAGGATAAAACTCCAGATTTGACTCCTTTACGAAGCCTTCGAACGTGTTGTGTGTCGCTATGCGGACACGGTGGCCGTACTTTTGTAACTCTTGTCCGAGGGCAATGAACGGTTGTACATCGCCTCGACTTCCTACGACTTGGATGACGATGTTC